TTTCCAATAAAATAACGTGCTTCTTTGAATAAACAAAATGTCCACTATAGTACACCATACATTCCGTGGAACAAAAATTCAATCACATCCGCATAATACTGCGTTGCAAATATATTCAAATATACGCCACATAATAACCACCAATAAATAAACGTCTTCCAAAATCATGCCACTGAAGATCCTTCTCTAGAGATACGTTAGTTTTGATACGTTGTATTTACTTATAACAAAAACTGATGATAAATGAAATGAAGTAAGATTATAACGAAAATTAAATTGATTATAACAAATCATTACGATACTGCAGCATTTTACATAAAGATACACAAATACGGTAAAACCATAATAAATTATTTATGAATAGATATATATATATATCTATAAAATATTCACGGCTCCTATACAATTACAATATAAATAAAACTTCAATTAACATACATCAATTAACATGTCTCGGTATAAATTTGCAATAGCGAAACACTAGAATAAAAAGAGCTTTTTAAATTTAATCTGCAAAAATTTAGAAAACAATAAATTACTGCCAAATAACTTAACCTGAATCAAATAAACTATAATTCTAAATAGAAAATAGTATTTTATGAAATAGCAAAAATTTATGAAACAAAATCACTAGAAAATTAAATTTACCTTGTACAAGCTGTAATTTTAAGACAAATATAATTTGTCTGTCACCGTCATAGTGACCTGTATAACGTCCAGTTCATTGCAATATAACACTTAAAATTTAGTCAATATATAGCAAACTACTGAGTACTGAGCGGGAAAACGGATCGTGCAAAATATGAAAAATCGATTTGCACGAAATAAAGCTGGGACGGCGGGAAAAATAGTTATGTAAAATAAAGGCCCGTCCTTCAAATACAGACATAATACATATATCTGGTTCATAAAACAAAAATGTAACTTTCTTATAACTGAAAGGATTTTTGTGAAATAAACGGCAAAATGTTTAAATTGAGACATGGAAATTTATGCAAACCATAAAAATACTCTAAATAATAATTTCACCCGTAAACTCTAAATTAAACAAAAGATGATGCAATCTCACATCAATGAATATAGAGTAAAAATGAGGTTCGGCGTGAAAATATAATGCAAGATTTTACAAACGTACTTTCACTTTGTGACAGCTACCCCAAATTATATCCCGAAATAAACAAAATATTAAGCCGTTATAATACTTGTCCGGAAACTGGAATTGTCTGGAAACTGGTTCCTACCCAGTATATCAATTGATAATACATACAGTAGCCTTTTATAAAATGTCTAAATAATTTAATTAAAAAAAAATCTTATTTATATCAATTAATGATAAAATTATCCATTTATAAATCATCTAACAACTTCAATAAAATATTTTTTTCTAACTTGTATCAATTAGTAATAAACTTACCAATTAATTAAACATCTAAATACAGTACTTCAATAAAATATTATCTTCTGTAATTTAATAATAAACATAGTAGCGTACAGTATCAGTATCAGTTTATTTAACATCTATACACATGTACTTCAATAACAATAATTTAATAAATAAAAATAAAAATGGGGAGGAACTGTATGTGTTCTATATTGATAGATATATTGAAACAGACGTTAGTTGCTGATAAGCTCCGCCTCCATAGCATGCTACATGTAACATCACACAAAGAAGGAAATGTCCGGCATATGGACAGCAGTGCAATTATCTGCCATTATGAAAATACCAATGTCCGCAGCACCGCCTAGATTATCTAGAATGCTACTAGCTCTGTCTAAGTATCAGTTAATTGTAAAGCACATTCCTGGTAAAGAAATACCAGTTAGTGACTGCCTATCACGCCAAAGTCTCCCTAATACATACTTAAATATGTCAGACGAGCTTGATAATTACGTGCATACCGTTCAAAAACAATTGCACATTACCGACCAACGTATAGAATATATTCGCGCCGAGACGTGCAAAGACGCACAAATGAAAATTCTAAAAAAGACTATATTAAACGGTTGGCCAGAATCTAGATCAATGTGCGAGCAATCAATCCTTGATTTCTGGAACCACCGCAATGAGATAAGCATAGAAAAGAAATGATATTTCTTGGACATACGATTGTAATACCGAAAATTTTGAGAAATGAACTTGTACAGAAAGTTCATTCAGGTCACATGGGAATTACGAAAACACTTGAACGTGCTAAAGATTCAATATTCTGGCCAGGCATGTCCAAGCAAATTAAAGAATATTTTAGCAAATGTATCATATGTCTTACATACCGCGACGCAAACGCAAAAGAACCGCTTATGACTACAGAATTCCCCGACAGACCTTACCAAAAAATAGCAGCATTTTCAAGGTAAAGAGTATCTATTGACTATAGATTATTATTCAAGATTTTTTGAAATTGACCATTTACAAAACACAACATCAAAAACAGTCATTCTGAAACTTCAGAAACACATGTCAAGAATGAAGTATTTGTCTCAGACAATGGTACTCAATTTTCAAGCTCCGAATTCAAAGAATTCGCTAAAGAGTGGGGTTTCGAGCACAGAACTTCATCCCCCGGATACCCCCAGTCGAACGGTCTTGCGGAAAAAGGCGTAGGTATCGCCAAAAAACTAATGCAAAAGGCTAAAGATACAAACACAAACATTTACATTGCATTACTAGAATATCGTAACACACCTCTTGAATGCAGATATTCTCCTAGTCAACTGTTAATCGGCCGGAGAACTAAAACCGTTGTGCCAGTTACAAATAAAGCACTGGTACCCATTTTAGTAAATAACTCAAAAGTGCGCAGTCTAATGAAAAAATCGAAAGACAAACAAAAGGTCAATTACGACAAAAATGCAAAATATTTGCCACCTTTGTCCTTGAATCAATCAGTACGCATTAAAATAGGAAAACCTTGGAAACACGGGAAAATAGTAAAAGTACATAGTGACCGCTCCTATCATATACAACTTGCTGACGGTAGCATATATAGGAGAAATCGGTCAGTAATACGCAAAAGTCCGGAAGACACAACCGATATTGAATCATTTCATGCACAAGTCTTATATCATGATAAAAATTCAAGTATCCCTGAATTACCTCTCGAGGAAAATAACTCATCTCAGGAACAAAGTGACCCGCCGATGAACTCGCGTGCTAGAACAAGGGCTGGACGATTGTTGCGTGGCAATCCGAAGTATGATAATAATGAATGGGTTAGATAATAACAGTTATTGAAAATAATGAGTTTACAGTATTTTGTAATCACAGTAATATACCGTGACTATCTGAAAAAAGAAAGAACTAAACTATGTCACGTAGACAAAAATTAATAAACAGTTCAATCAGTATTATTGAAATTAGCTATAAATATTATTTCTTAAGCAAGCATTATTATTTAATAAAATTCATGATTTAAAATAAAAGAAGGGAGATGTTCTATATTGATAGATATATTGTAACAGACTTTAGTTGCTGATAAGCTCCGCCTCCATAGCATGCTACATGTAACATCACTTGTGTATTAAATCTTGAAATATTAAGACATACTCTTGTTGTCTCTTTCTGAGTTAAAAATATACAGTAGTATATCTTACTGGACATCTCATTTGAGATATAATATTCTTTATTATATGTATATACTTGTCACTAAAACAAAACATACAATTGTCTGTTTATTTGCAAATATGCAGTCAGTTTTACTCCAAAATAGGGAGGAACTGGCAATGAAGAGAATAGTTTGACGGTAGACAGACGTTTCACTATTGAGACGGTTCACACCAAGACGGTCCACACCAAGACATCTTGAAGACGTTTCACTCCCTTTTTATACCAACATTATTTTGATACTTATGACATACTAAAATAGATCTAAAATATTGAATTGAATTGAACTAAAATAGACCTTAATTTTAATTAATCTTGTGACACCAATTAACTTTGAGTAACATGTTTTGTTTTGTTTTTTTTTGTTAATTTTAAAACATGGGATTAAAAAAAATTAAATTATTTAATGCTAGTATAGTGGTTTTGCGATACATGTCAAAAATTTTAATGGCCATGGATATCAGAAATATCTTTAAATTAGATTAGAAGTATTGGGACTTTTTCGATATTTGTCATGTATAATCATTTATTGTGACTAAAATCATTATTATAAACAAAACTTATGGCAGGGATCACGTTTCTAGGCGACTTGGGCGACAAAGTCGCCTTGCCTCTCTCCATTTCGCCCGGATCGCTCAGAAAAGCGAAAAACAAAGTCGCCCTAATTTTCAACAAACGCTTGCAATAAATTTTAAAGTGTCAAGCACCTCGGTAATCGTCTAATCGGTAATAGGTTTCAAAGCGATTTGTTAAACGCATTTTCATTGGTCGGTAAAATTGGAAAGCCAATGAAACGCAGCGAGACAATTTAGCGAGTGTTGGAATCGAATGGTTGACATCTTCGAGTATTGTCAAATGCCGACTTTTAATCAATAAACAACATATAAACAGATTAGCGGCGATTCATGTCAATTAGGATAAATTGGGGGCATACTTATTGCATTAATTAGTCGGTAAGTTTAGTGATTTTATCTGTACAAAAGCGTGTCGCCAAAAGTGTTGGTCACATGTATCGATGTTTACAATTGTCTCAGCAATTTTGAAAATGGGTCTCTAGCTGTTATAAATGTTGGTGATGATTTATTCCTTGATTATTATTCTTTAAAAGAACTGTTTTACCGATAGATTTAATGCATTATGCAGAAAAAGTCTGTCAAAGAAAAAAAAATAACAATTAGCTACACGTTAGCTTTTCTTTCATAAATAAATAAATAAATAAAATATTAAAAAAAACATCCACATGAACCTTATCAAGTATATTTATTACATGCTTTTCGGTGGTTTATAGAAATATATCAGTGATATAAAAATGGTAATTTCACTGTTTGAAACAGTGAAATTACCACTTTGATAATTTCACTGTTTTGAATTTAAGCCCCTTACGTTATTTCAGTGAAATACCAGGGTGCACAGTACTGGGAACCAACTTAATGACGTGACGTCGTAAATGACGTCACGTTATATTATTATTTGGCGCGCTTTTCATTCAGTATTAGGTTAAATGTCTTTTTAAAACGTTTCTTTGCATATAATAAAAAGAAAATTTGTTTAGTTTACTGTAAGATTGAAATATATTTCACCTTGTGAACACCAAAAGTTCATATTATACTCGTGGCTGCGCCACTCGTGAAATATACCTTTTGGTGCTCACTCGGTGAAATATATTCTAATCTTACACTGAACTAAACAAATATCCTCTATATGAACTTTGACTCGGCACTCCCTAGGAAAATAATGAAATACATGTATAGGGCCTAGTGGCCTACTAGTGATACTAAAATATTTTTTTTTTATTTCAGCACAACATCACATGGCTGCAGCATTAAAATCAAAACAAGCTACACAAAACCTATGATAAAAATGGTATAGAATGGAAAAAAAACTGCCACATTTGTAATTTTGCTGTATATTGTTATGAGTTACTTAATAAACTGTTATGTTCTCCACAAAATGTTAATCAATCTTAAAACTTAGAAATGGAACATCAACACTTCAAAAAAAATGCAGATCCTATGCACTTCTCCTTGTCCCTAAAAACTTCTCCCTATTTTCACTGGAGGGAGAAGTCACTTCTCCCTAAATTTTAGGTCTAGCGTGATCCCTGTATGGAGAAGTTTCTGTGTTTAAATTGGCTGTTGTCAAAACATATCTTCATGGTCCAATAAACAACTGATTAGTAAACTGTTGATGCTTAAATGCAGTGTTTATACAACTGATTAGGCGATGGGATAAATACTTAAGTTTGTTTAATGGCTACTGTTTAATAAATTGATGACGAAAATAATTTTAAGAAATAATTCATTTTATACACATGTTTCGCATTCCATTGTTTAAGACTTACAAAAACTAATCATTATGTAGTCAATGTATTTAATATATTGGTATTTTTTATTATTTGAAATTACTTTTATTAATTACTTTACTCGTAGTGATTTCAATATTCAAACTGATACTTATAATATGTCTTTGTTGTTCTTTCTATGTTATTCTATTTCTTTTTTATTTAGTACTATAAATAGAATTTTCTCATGTTGTTACGCTTATTATATAATAAAAGTGATATTTCTGAAATTTGTCTTTTGTTTACACCTCTTATCACTCAACCTATAATTAAATAAGTAATCTTATAATAATACACCCATAAACACTTTCAATATGATCTACCTAAATAACCGAGGTATATCGAGTGAAAAAATACGAGTTGCTTCCCTTATCTTCGAGTAAAATCGATATCGCTTATGCTAAAACAATACAAAATAAGCTGTTTTTAAACCGCTAGTTTGTTGTGATTAAATGTCCGATTTTAAAATGTATTACACCAATAGAAAGCTTTGGATCTTAGCTTCGTCACAGTATAAAATTCAACACATCTTTGGACTTCAAAGTATTTTAATTAACTGTTAACCCTACCATATGTCAGACCATTTCACATACGATTTATACAGTGAGATACGCAATCCGTTATCTTTACTCGAAATTCTACTGATATTAATAGCCTGTCGTCTGCTAGTTCTGTTTATCGGTGTATTTGTATTAACAATACCATTGAAACAACAAAATGAAACATTAAAAACTGTTAAATTGATTTTCCTTGTTAGGCCTAAAAAAAATGTTTTGTTAGGGTAACATGCTCTCAAGGAACAGGTAGGGTAGGTCGGATTTTTTTTTTCTTTTTTTTTTCACCAGTAGATATATTGAAATTTAGATATGGAAATTTCTGACATCCCTCCCGGGTGGCAAAAATACATCCCTTCTTTGTTTTCAAAAGACATTTCAGGTGTGACAATCTTAAACTCTCGGCGTTCTTCTGGTAAAGATCACACGCCGTTTTACAAATATTGACGATGTGATCCGCAATTTTGTAACTAAGAGCGGCGATAAAACCTGTACCGTACCCAGGGCTCATCCTGGGGGGAAATTTAAGGGAGAAGTGACTTCCTCATGAAAATTCGGCAGAAGGGAAACATCCCAATGTGTATGCATTAACATGCATGGCAAAACATCCTTTAACTAGAATAGAAACATAATCTATTTATCAGCTATTTACTGTATAAGCTTTCTCATATATTTTCGATAATAATGTGTAAGAAAAAATATGATGAATAGAAATTAACTTTATATTTTTACTTTCCTCACTTTTAACAGAAGATAAAGTTACATTGGATAATGATTAATAAAATCTGTCTATCCTGTTTTGTTTACAGAAATTTCTTTTATGATCTTCTATGTTGTTTTTTTTATGCTGTAATGTCACATTTACAATGTATATGCATATAATTATGCTTATAAAACAATTTTCAAATATCGAAGAATATGTAAAATATGTACTGCAAACATTTGTGCACATTATATTTGATCACTAAAATTATATACATTCATTTCTTATTGAAAAATTCGACTGAGAAATTATAGAAAATAAATTTCTAATTACCTCCCTTTATTTTCATGAAATGTTAAACTCAGTAATATCTTTATAAATAATGCTTTTTGAAATTTACAAAATTAATAAATCTTAATCTGAGCGTCATATTTATGACATTAAAACAAATATATATATTGAAACAATAAAAACACTTCTTTTCTGACAAATTTTGTTGTTATATACATGAGCACATGATATACCACCGATATGTCATAGTCAGAATTGATTGTTCGGGAGTAACATGTAGATGTAACATGTAGATATGTCGCATGCCGATCATAATTCGTAGTTTTAGGATGTCGTGCCAACGTGCGTACAAGCTGTGTCAAATTTGGCATTTCTACAAAGATAACAATGCAAAACACTCTCACTGTCAACTACATACCAATCATAAGATTTTTGCGAATTGGCTTTCATTAATTTTCGCGTGTATTAGGTGTATCAGAATCAGTAACTTTTTTTTACTGCTAGGTTTGGGCATTTCACCCCAAGCCATGACGTGAGCGACATAACAATTTTTAATTGATGTTAACGGACTGAAATCATCCAAATGAAATTAATTATTTTTAATTGCTTAACAGTTTTGTGATAGCGGTGAAAACTCCATTGCACATCGCCTTTACTTCGGTTAAACACCGCGTGTATATCAATTAGGGAAGAATTGCACGTGTTTAGATGATCGGAAAAAATTGATCT